TAATAGACTCAGGTGCTACTGATCATCTTTGTGGTAATAAGGATCTCTACTTCCCTTACTTTTTCTAATAATCTTCCCTCTGTTACTCTTGCTGATGGCACCAAGGCTCCTGCTCGTGGCATTGGGCAAGCCAAACCAACTCCCTTCTTGACTTTAACCTCTATTTATTACATCCCTGGCATTCCTTTTAATTTAATTTCTGTTAGTCAATTGACCCATTCTCTTTCTTGCTCTGATACCATGTAAAGAACCTTGGGATACACCTCCCCAAAAGCTAGCTCAAAGGGTGGGAGTGCCCAAGGCCTTATAAACTCCACATTAGTTGCTCATACAACCAATGTGGGACTATATATCTCAACGCAATCCATCAATGATTTTCACATTAAAGGAACCATGCTTAAGATTTCAAAACAACTATGTTTACATATCATTCCATACTCATGCTATAAATTCCACATATATTTCCTTGTTGTATACCTCAATTTCATAATTATTACATTTAACCATTGATGTATCGTTCGAATGTACCATATCATATCTCTTGCATACAAGTCCCATCATATAGGGATTTTCAAAACCTACTTATCATGTCATATGGAACTAAATCCATCATTGCCATTACTTCTACTTATCATGTCATACAGATAGGCAGGATTCGCATGCACCATATCATATCTCTCGGCAGGATTCGCATCAGAGTCCCTTTTGTTAGGGGCAGAGTGCCCACCCACATTGTTCTTACTAGTCCTAGCGTGTGACGACCTGGACAAGCAGACTGGCAATACTTGGCCTCGGACCCTCGAAAGAGTATTTCCTATTTTTCCTTTTCAGTACGGTCAATCCCAAAGAACCAATACTTGGCCCCATATGGCAGCTTTGAAATCAAGTCCTCTTCTTTACGGTCATCACCACCGCCTGAAGCGGTGGAGCCACTCCCTCTTTCACTCGTGTCTCCAGAAATGCCCAAGTCGATAAGGGAGGTGTGGCGGGGGAACTACCAAACAAGCACAAGATTACACAAATTCCCCAAGAAAAAACTTGGAAGGAGAAGGGAAAGTGTTTAAAGTTTTGAAAATGACAAAGACTTGAAGCTTCATTGACGACAAAGCACCAATGTGAGTAAGCATGTCTCCTAGGAACCCAAGAAAAACTAGCAAAGCCTCGGGAAGGAAAACTAATGGAAAAGCATGAGAAAAACCCAGAAAACCCAGAAACGCAACTAAAGGAGAAGCAAAAATTCTACGAAAACTTAAATGGAAAAAAGAGGCAATGAAACAGAAATGATGAAATGAGGTACACCAACCAACATTTAAGAGGCTTTTGGGAGCGAAGCTGAAAAGACAGGGGAAAAAAAGACATTTCACATGGGAAAATCCCTTAACATTGGCGTTCACACAATCCATCATTACGCATGAATCGCGAAGGCAATACGCATTAAGTCGCATCAACCAGGAGATGACACATGTAAAGTCGTAACTGCCAAAGCCCACGTGAGGAAGTTAAGGGTTACCACCCATAGGCGATCCGGGCAGGGATGCACCAAAGAGCTGACCCCCCAGGCTTCGCAGGAGCACGATATAGTAGCTCTAGCCAGGCCAGCTAGCCCAAAGAAGACAACTCGGCATGTAAGCTGACCTCTAAAGCCAAAGACCTCACCCCGGGACTGCAACACGACTGAGGAATTTCTCCAAAAAAATTGGAAGCAACTAGACCAAGCATGTCAAGTAATGGCAACCTAGAGCCTAGCTTGAACTGCCCCAATGCCCATGTGAAGCTCGTCCAAAAGGAGCAATACATAAAGCGGCCTGAAACTAGCACACCAGCATCAAATGAACAGGGCTACAGACATCCCAGCCCCATACATGGCTGGGATATATGGAGCGACATTACAACCCGAACACTCAGACTACTTGATTGGGGGAGAATTGTTTTGGACCCATTTTATGAGCCTAAATCTTAACAACCTAACAATAAGTGGTTAACTAAGAGAGATAAGGACAACAACTTTATCCTATCACTAGAAGGAAGAGGATAAACCATTATCCCATCTCTCCCAACAATCTCACTCTAGCTACGACTCTACATCTCTACAAGTAACCCATATATAAAAATGGGTTAAGCCTACTAGGTACACACTTTTGGCTAATTTTCTCTATAACTATCATTGTGCACACACTCCACGCTCCGACTACGTCGTCATTATTTGTGCACAGTGATTTGCAACCCCTTGAGGTGCCTCCTCCACAGACAAACGTGAGCATACTGATCCCATATAGAAATACCAACATCTGGTTGGACATACCCGATCTTCTCAAATCGAACAATGGTCATACACTACAAAAAAAGTGTTATTTAGCCACATTTAAAAACGTGGCAAATAGTGATAAAAAATGTGGCGAACAAATTTTACCACATTTTGATTAAATGTGGTTAAAAGTGGTGTTGCAATAATTTATCCACATTGTTTTATTGACTTAGCCACATTTTGACCAAGTGTGGTGGCATTTTTTAGCCACATTTATTGTTAATTTAGCTACTATATAACATGAGAAACTCGAGGTGTAGCTCAGTTGGTAAGGGGACTACAGTAAGGGTCGGACTTCTGTAGCTGATAAAGTCATAGATTCGATTCCCACAAGAAGCATTTGGGGTCATTGGTAAAAATTTTCTCACTCTAAATCATGAAGGAATTAGTCTCATCCTACGGGGTGGGGATACCCTTAGGTCACTCAAAAAAAGAAAAACGTGAGAAATACTAACTAACATTCGTCGCTTCCGCAGAGTGAGATAGAACTTGATTTCTCTAAAATAATATCTAGGATTTGAGTGTCCTAAATTAAAAAAAAAAAAAAAAATCAAATGCTTGGAGAGCTTAGTCTCTTAAATAGTTGACCCAATTAGAATTTGAATTAGTTGGAGAGCCTAAAATAACTATAAAATAATAATAACATGAGATGCAAAATATTGGATTGGCGGCACAAAACATTTGCATGATTGAAATTTATTTTATTTAAAGTGCTTATTTTTTTACTTAACCTATGAACATACACCTTCATGAATAATTTATATTTTGTTTAGTACGTAACGGCTGGACAATCCATAACGCAATTTGCTTTCCCATATGCATATCTATGCATATCAACAAAGTTCACATGCCAATCACAACCAAAAGCTCTCACATATTATAAACAATAGCAAAGGGTGGGTGCCTCTTATCTCTGAACTTTTTCCCTTTTTTGAGCTAAAGCACTAATAGAATGAAGTTTCGTTCGTACCAATAACTACTCTATAAACAATGCTATAATTCATTTTTTTTTCTTTTTTTTTCTTTTTTTTGAACTTTCTATTATTTTTTTTTTATTTTTTTATTTTTTTGATAACATAACTTTCTATTATTTTAAGGTTGACCATACTTTAAGGGGGGTTTTTTTTTTCAGATTTTATTTTCAGTTAATGCATTTCCATTGCAATTATAAAAATGTCACTTTACTTTTATTCTGTTTTTATGTTTAAAATTTTAAAATTACATAATTTTGTATTTACGAGATTTAGAAAACACTTATGTCAAAAATGGCTTTCTTTGTTGTGGTACGTCCAAATGGCACGCCAGTGGTGACAGTGCCGTCATTAAGCCCATCATCCCATTTCCCATGTATTTTGTGGTAAAGTCATTTACTTAGTGTGAATGTTTTGGTTCAAGTTTGAAAAACATTAAATCATGATTTATGCAAAAAGCCAAAAACATTTTTTTTTTCTCGTCCAAACTATAATTTTAGAGTTCTAAACAGAAAATCCAACTTACTATTAATAATAAATTAGTATTTACAAGTCACTAAGACTAACCTAGTGGTAAGAGAGGTGCAAAGTGGATAACATAATATATTCGATTCCTAATGTATAAATTGGTATTCGCACAATTATTCGAGGTAAGGTTATTGAAATTATTCAAGTAGTCAGTTGTTAAGAGTTAAGGGAATTAAAATTATGATTAATCCATTAGGTTGTAGGCTGTAGCAGGGTTATAGTGCTTCACCAAGTTGTTTGCATGAAATTAGAGATATGAAAAAATAATAATAATAATAATAATAACCATTGTTTTAATTATTTAAGAACCTAACTACGTGTTTAACAGAACCGTTTCAATTTTTTCAAATCGGTTCGGTTCAAAGAATCGAATGAATTTACTGATCTAATTCGGTCCACTTACATATCCATTATTAAGAGTGAAAAAAATTATATAAATGGAACTATAAACGAAACCAAACCGCACCATTATTAAAACAGAAGCCCACCGCTTCATAGTTTAATAAATAACCATGTCCTTATGGTGAATATTATTCTCGTGTGACATCAAAGAATTTTTCTCTCATGCACTCACAAATCAAAGATGGGGCCCACTTTCTATTTTTTATCTCTCCTCTATTCTCTCTCCTCTCTCCTCTAAGTTGTGAGTGCATGAGGGAAAAATTCTCTCCCCTATGTTTTAATAGTGACACCTGACAACCTTTATATCATCCGTAACTGCAACTTCTTAATGCTTTCCTTGGAGCCTTACCACCCCATAATAACAGCAACATTTGGGAAGTCTTTCGTATTTGAAATCCTACCAGAAATATATTTTTGCAACCAAAAATAATATTATAAAAAAAAGACTTAACCAGAAAACACCGGCTAACCTACACTAGTCAATGTTAGTAGCTAACTGCACAGCATGATATGGGGACCTGCATGCCCGTTTTTCTCATGGGCCAAATATGCAGAACATTGAATTCTTAACTAGGAAACATCTAACCTTTAGTGGAGATTGAAGGAAAAATATTACTTCCTTTTTCGGGGGCGTTTGGTTGAAGAGAAATTTTTGGAATACTAAGAAAATAGAATTGATAGGAAAATGGTAAGAAAGTGAGATAAAGTGAGAGATAGGAAAATGTCAAAAAAAGTAGTTTGGTGGGAAAAAAATTTACTGGGAAAATTAGGTAACTTTTAGGAAATGTATGTTTGGTTGGAGGTAGTATATAGTGAAAAAATTTGAGTGAACAGTGAGATTACCAGCTTTTTAACAAAAAACCATCTCCGAAAAAGCTTTCCAAATAGTACATAAAGCTGTTTTTCGGTTCCAAAATTTAAAAACCAATGCATCTTAGACGAATGGGTTTATGAGTAAATCACCCTTCACCAAACACGACATTTCAAGGAGCCTCAGCACATTTGCATAGGAAAGTTGTAAAAAGCCTCAAGCCAAACACCCCCTTAAGTATTGGCACCCGATATTAATAATCAATCCCATGGACTGACTATAACAGGAACATACAAGACATGAAAACCTCTACCTGATCTTTTGCATTAGAACATCCAAAATCTCATTTACTATTGCTACATCTTTGTCAATTTGGGAGATATTTACCTAAGACATAGGAATCCCCACAAACTAAGGATATCTCTGGAAAAAATTATAAACAAATAAATGTGCAATGACAGCATAGATAGTCTAGTGCTCATTTGCATACCTTGTGGCACCTCTAACACATGTCTGCTCATTTGAAGGGCTTCTCTAGTGTTGGGCTCCCGTTTGCAACACTAGTACTGCTGTCAACCATAGTAACATCTTCCATGCTACTTTCAGGTGGCTTATCTCCAGCCACATGGTTATCAACTGTTGTAGCTTCCTCGTTTTCATGTGGCATATCTTCTGCTTGTTCGGCAACATCAATGTCCATAGTCAGCTGCCTGTTTTGCACCTCATCTGTATTTGTTGATGGTTCTAGGTGACTTAAATAAGATCCATTTTGTTCAAACTGATGTCTCAACTTTTCCTGGAAATAAAAATGCAAAAAAAAAAAAAATTCATCGACATTTTTTGTAGAATAGAACCCAGAAAATGTGTGTGCGTGTATATTTCAGATAAGAGACATTTCGCTTCTATTTGGTGCAAATCACATCCGCCAATGATGTTTCCCAAATATGTTGAGGTTGAGCAATTTGCTCCACTGATTTTCTCTTTTTTCTTTGTTTTGTGTTCTGTTCTTAAGTTATGGACGATTCCTTATCCTCTCATCTCTTTCGTTTTTTTTTTTTTTTTTGGAGGGGGGTGGGGAAGGAATCAGAATAACAGAAAATAACTTCTAGGGGTGAAGAATCTGAGTTGAGTCACCGACATATATATAAACACAGCACTTTCTTGTATCATGAGATGTGAGACATACCTGATAAAGCCTATCTACGATACTACCCATCTCCTCGATGCCACTGACAAGATGTACATCATGTCTAGTTCCAGGATCTTCAACAACCCGTTCAGTATATGAGGTAGTCTCGCTCACATTAAGGGCAAGGCGGTCAGGTCTTTTAAGAAGCAGCTGAAATGTAGGCTGCAGCTCATAACATTGCTCAAAAAGAGAACGGCGGCAAAAGACATATAAACCAAGCCGAGCACGTGACATGGCGACCACCAATCTTCTTACATCACGTAGGTGACCAACAAATCGAGTACGCACAAGAGAGAGCAATATAAAATCATTTTGCTGTCCTTGAAACTTATCCACTGTAGAAACCTGAGAGAAGTCATGAACAGAAAACAAAGATAACTTGATTGAGATCACAACATTTAAATATGTACAATAATATCAGATTGGGGGGGAGGGGGGGGGGAATTTACACAACATTGCTAGAGCCTAAAATTTGTCTTGGTGACTTGTAAGAGTAAATAATAATAATAATAAAAAATTCATCTTCAGAAATCAAAAACCCAAAATGGACACCACCTTAATCAAAGAAATCATTTAGAAATTTAATCTAAAATATAATTTAAAAGTAAAGAATTAGTCACATACCTTGCTTGGGGGACCAATGAAGTCATATGGAACACATCTCCTGTTTATAACATCACGAATGAGAAGTTTCTGACCATTGTAAGTAGTCAAAATCGATATCTTATTTGCAGGATACCCTAACAGACGCATGTATATATAGACACTGACAACATATTCTGCTTCTCCCTCATTTTGGTAAAACCAAGGAGATGGAGTTGTCTCCCCCTTACCAAGGTAATCTGGAACATCCACTAACTGATAATCATAAGCAAATCCAGCATTTGCCCTCTGGAATGTGACTGCCTCCTTTAGATAAGGAAGGTCTCCCAAATCTCTGTATCTCCAATTGTAAAGTTTAGCTATACTTGGCCTAGCTCTTCCCTGAGCATTTAGCTCAATGTAAGGAATGCCCAAACGGACAAACCTAGTAAACAGACTCTGATCCATGTGGCTGTATTTTTGGAAAGCCATATTCTTCACAACAGGAGGCAACTGGTGATGATCACCAATCAGAATGCAGCGTTTAAGCCGTGCAAGACCATCCTCCTGCCTCTGGAGTAACATTGGAATGAAAGTCTCAATTTCTAAAATTTGGGCACTTTCTTCCATCAACAAGTTGTCATACTTAAAACCTAACTGAAGGAAATCTTTCCTCTTTAGAGCTGCATGAGTACAAGTCATTGCTACAATCTTAGCCTGCTTGGTCATTAAGTGGTTAGCCCTCTCAGCTGTTGACTTGAGTAATTCGAATGCCCGGCATTCTTCAAGTTCTTGAAACATAGTCTTAAGATGACAAAAGCATCCCATAGCAGCCCGCATATCTTTCTCAAAAGACTTGCCTGTAAACACAGGATGTGGTGTGTCAGAGAAGAACTCTTTGAAGGGAAAACGATCTCGAACAAATGTTGGCTTTTCTTTATTATCAGCACAAGCAGCAAGAAATAGCTCCCAGCGTGAATAAATGTGAAGCAACCAAAAGTACCCTGCAGTTTCACAAGTGTAAGCCACATCCTCTGGCAATTGAAGTGATCTTGCTAGCCTCTCCACTTCGCTCAGCAGTTCTAACCGTCTGACCAGCATTGCATTAACACGACCTTGCCGACTAAAATCAAGATCAGTTGCTAGCTCTTGTTCTCCTTGACCAAGTCGGAGAAGATAACGTGCAGGTACATCTCTCTAAAACAAAAAGGAGTAAAACGAAATACATAAACTTCAGTACAGAAGGCAAAGAATCCTTGACAAGGATTTATCAAAAAACATGAGTTAATAAGCTGTGTTAGACTGTTCATCTTCCACAAAACTAAATTCGTTGAAACCAAATATTATTGTGGTGCTTGATAGAAGTTGTGCACAGGTGAGAAAATGAGAGAAAGCGAAAGTGAGATAAAAAAGCAAGACAGAGTATAAGATAATTTTGTGATCTGAAATCTGTTATTGCAAAGTTACTTTACACAGGTTTGAACAAGTACATTTATAGTATCCCAAGCTAACTACTCATAACAGAATCTTGACCCAGCATCATAACAGAATCTGATTAGGCTAACTAACTCAGCTAACTGTAGTGAAACTAGCAGCTAACAGAAACACTTATGTAATGTCTCAACTCAGAGAAAGACCAACAATGATTGCATGTCTTAAATAGCATTTTGGTATTACTTCTTAATTTAGTTTGATTACAAACATTTAATACCGAATATTTAATATATTACATGCATGATACTGTGATATTACTAGTGCAAGACTTTAATTTAACAGTAATAACCAAAAAATGTACTACGTACAAAATTACTGATTAATATAATACATATTGACAAAAACAATAGTTCTTTGATTACAAACACTGACAGATTTAGAACATTGCATGCATAATGACGGTTAGAATATTAGATATGATATGATTAGATATGATTGGATTCTGTCTTATCCGTAAATAGTCTGACTGTATTCTGACTGTATTAGGATTAGGTTTGGGCCTTACACTTAAGCCCATTAGGGTCTCTATATATTGTAACTCACTCCCTGACACAGATCAATACACAACGTATTCTTTTACATTTAACTTGGTATCAGAGCTCTTTCGTTCTAGGAACCCTCGCTTCCGCTCAGAAACCTTGTTTTTTGCTTTAAAAACCTAAGCCCACTGCTTAGGAGTCCTCTTTCTTGCCGTGCGTCCTTCCGGCAAGCCTTCTAGAGTTGTAAACAGCCTCTGAGTGATTTTTCCAAACGCGTCAGCACCTCCGACGGCCACCGGAACCACCGCCCGCCGTCAGAATCATTGTTCAGGCAACCGGAGACTTTTTCCGGCGAATTTTCCGACCAAACTTCACGCGATCAGGACCCTCTCTTCCCGGCGACCAGGTCTGTGGTGGTCCGGTCAGCAACGCATCTCGCCCGCGCCGTCACGCGCCACCTGTCTTCACTGCGCGTGGGCTTCACGCGCCACCTTCTGCCGGCGCGTGAGCACTATTCCGGCGGCTTTTTCCGGCCGTTCTTGGACAGAGAAGCTCGCCTTCTCCTCCCCTTTCTGGATCTGTGATTGTTTCTCTGTGGGTCTGACCTTAGACGCGTGGTTCTTCTTGATTGGATATCGTTTGCCTTCGTTTACGGCTTTTATATTTTATCTTTAAATGGCAGCAGCATCTCCTGATCTCTCGGAGGTTAACTCTCCTTCTATTGTTGCAAATATAGCTCAGTCAGACAATGCACAGTCTCAGCCTTATACTGGTAATCCCGTTGCTTGTGTTTCTCATTCTAAATCACTTGGCACTTGGATATTTGACTCCGGTGCTACCGATCATCTCTGTGTTAATAAGGAACTCTTTACATCTCTTACTTATTCTGATCATTTACCGTCTTTTACCCTTGCGGATGGAACCAAAGCCCCAGTTCGTGGGATTGGACAAGCTCGTCCGACCTCTACCTTGGCCCTGACATCTGTCTATTACATTCCTGGCATCCCTTATAACTTAATTTCTATTAGTAAGTTGATCCACTCCCTCACTTGCACCATTACTTTCTCTAACCATTCTGTTTCTGTGCAGGATCCGGGTACGGGGAAAATGATTGGAGTGGGTCGTGAGTCACGAGGGCTTTATTATCTGGATGTGCCTCGTCCTTCAGTAGCATGCTCTCTCACAGAATCTCCACAACTTATCCACAGTCGCCTTGGTCATCCAAGTCTTTCAAAGTTGCAAAAAATGGTTCCTCTTTTGTCCGGTCTTCAGTCTTTAGATTGTGTGTCATGTCAACAAGGGAAGCATACACGCTCCTCTTTTGCCAGTCGAGTCAATAAACGAGCTGATGCCTCTTTCTCTCTTGTTCATTCAGATATCTGGGGTCCAAGTCGTACCTTGTCTGTCTTAGGTTTTCGGTATTTCGTTACCTTTATTGATGATTTCTCCCGTTGCACTTGGACCTATTTAACGAAAAATAGTTCTGAGTTATTTTCCATTTATAAAAAGTTTTCTACTGAGATCCATACTCAATTTGGTGTTTCTATTCGTATTCTACGTAGTGATAATGCTATGAGATCCATACTCAATTTGGTGTTTCTATTCGTATTCTACGTAGTGATAATGCTAAGGAATATGTTTCTATTGATTTTTCTAATTTCTTGGCCACACAAGGTACTTTACATCAAACTACTTGTCCTCACACTCCACAACAAAATGGGGTGGCTGAACGTAAAAACAGACATCTCATTGAAACTGCCCGTACCCTTCTTATTCATATGCAGGTTCCCCTTCACTTCTGGGCAGATGCTGTACTCATCTCTTGTTTTCTCATCAATCGCATGCCTTCATCTGTGCTCCACAATGACATTCCTCATAATCTATTGCTTCCAGATGTTCCTCTTTATCCTCTAACTCCACATGTCTTTGGTTGTACTTGTTTTGTTCATGATCTCACTCCTGGTAAGGATAAGTTAACATCCAAAGCCTTTCAGTGTATCTTTCTTGGTTATTCTCGTCTTCAAAAGGGTTATCGTTGTTATTCTCCCGACCTTAAGCGTTACTTAGTTTCCGCTGATGTCACTTTTCTTGATCAACAACCCTTTAATTCTATCCCATCTCAGATATCACAGGTTGATCATGTACTTCCTGTCCCTTTTCTTGACTTGTCTTTGCAGCTGCAGGTGCTTCTATTCCAAATGAGCAACCTATTGCTTCTATACCTGAGGACCGTCTACTTCTCACCTATCAGCGTCGCAAAACTGTGCCTCCTGTCGACTCGACTCTTGCTGACTCATCGCCCACTGTTGTTGCTTCTTCCCCTCCGGATCCTTCATCAGAGACTCTTCCCATTGCTCAAAGAAAAGGTACACGTACTACTCGTAACCCTTATCCTCTTTATACCTTTTTCAGTTATGACCGTCTTTCTTCACCTCATTTCACCTTTGTTTCTAGTCTTTCTTCTATTTCTATTCCTAAGACCACAGGTGAAGCACTTTTCCATCCAGGGTGGCGCCAAGCAATGCTTGATGAGATGACTGCACTTCATTCCAATGGCACTTGGGACCTTGTTTCTGCTCCTCCAGAGAAGTCTATAGTTGGTTGTCGCTGGGTTTTTACTGTGAAAGTTGGACCTGATGGCCATATTAATCGTCTCAAGGCACGTTTAGTTGCCAAGGGTTTTACTCAAATCTTTGGCCTTGATTATAGCGATACATTTTCTCCGGTCGCTAAGATGGCGTCAGTCCGCCTCTTTCTTGCCCTTGCTGTTATTCGTCACTGGCCACTCCTTCAACTTGACATCAAAAATGCCTTTCTTCATGGTGATTTACAAGAAGAAGTTTACATGGAGCAACCACCTGGTTTTGTTGCTCAGGGGGAGTCTGGAAAGGTGTGTCGTCCTCGGAAATCCTTATATGGTCTCAAGCAGTCTCCTCGAGCATGGTTCAGTCGCTTCAGTTCTGTTGTTCAGGCGTTTGGCTTAATCCGCAGTAAAGTTGACCATTCTGTGTTTTATAGGATTACATCTCCTGATAAGTGTATCTATTTGATAGTCTATGTTGACGACATCATTCTCACCGGAAGTGATCAAGACGGAATTCGTCAGTTAAAACAACATTTGTTTAGTACATTTCAAACAAAGGACCTTGGGAAGCTGCGTTACTTCTTGGGAATTGAGGTGGCGCAATCCAGACAGGGCATTTCTATCTGTCAAAGGAAATATGCCTTGGATATCCTAGAAGAAACTGGTATGTTGGGGAGTAAACCAGTTGATACACCTATGGATCCTAATGTCAAGTTATTACCCGGACAGGGGGAGCCGTTATCTGATCCTGGACGTTATCGGAGGCTAATTGGGAAGCTCAACTATCTTACTGTGACTAGGCCAGATATTTCTTTCGCTGTTAGTACGGCTAGTCAGTTTCTTGATTCCCCTTGTGATTCACATTGGGATGCTGCTGTGAGGATCCTCCGATACATCAAAGGAGCACCAGGAAAAGGTTTGTTGTATTCAGATTAGGGAAATACAGAAATTTGTGGTTATTCAGATGCTGATTGGGCAGGATCACCCTCGGACAGGCGCTCTACTTCTGGCTATTGTGTCTTCTTTGGAGGAAACTTAATTTCGTGGAAGAGCAAGAAACAACCTGTTGTTGCTCGATCTAGTGCAAAAGCTGAGTATCGTGCAATGGAAAATGCTACCTGTGAGTTAGTCTGGTTAAAGCAGTTGATTCAGGAGCTTCATCTTTGTGAACAGAAACAACCCATGACACTCATCTGTGATAATCAAGTTGCGCTACATATATCCTCTAATCCTGTCTTTCATGAGAGGACCAAACATATACAGATTGATTGTCACTTCATTCGAGAAAAGATTCAGTCGGGAGAAATCAAGACTGCTTTCGTCAACTCCTCTGATCAACTAGCGGATGTTTTCACTAAAGCTCTTAGAGGTCCTCGGGTTGAATACATTTGTAACAAGCTTGGTGCTCATAATATATACGCACTAGCTTGAGGGGGAGTGTGAGAATATTAGATATGATATGATTAGATATGATTGGATTCTGTCTTATCCGTAAATAGTCTGACTGTATTCTGACTGTATTAGGATTAGGTTTGGGCCTTACACTTAAGCCCATTAGGGTCTCTATATATTGTAACTCACTCCCTGACACAGATCAATACACAACGTATTCTTTTACATTTAACTATGACCTTCTCTAGTACAAGAATTTAGCCAACATTAATGATGCATTTGGTAGATATGTGGCATAAGGGTTTGTGTGGGAGGATAGAAGTCTGATATGATCAGAACTTTTATCATAAGCTGACAAGACACTCCAGAAGATATATTCTGAATATTCTTCAATCTGCAGCAACAAGTCATCTCTTTCACTATCTGAGAGTCTACCTCAAAATTCTTTGCCACTTCATGTTGTCATTGCAGCACAAAATAGTAAAAACCTGCTCTGGTACCAAAACTGATACAGTACAGGAATTTATTTAAAGTTAGGGTGGGAAGCAAAGGGAAATTATGAAAATAGGTTTGGTAGGTATATGGTATAAAGAATTTGTGTGGGAAAAGAGTCCACTTCCTTGGATAGGAATAAGAACAGTCACAATTCTAATCCTAAGTTGAGAAGAATATCAAAAGATATTTTCTGATTCTTTCGCTCCATTCTGAATTCCAAATTCTTTCTAAATTACATAGAAAATCACTACTTATAGACCCAATATGTATCTAGAACTGACCAGCTGAAAGTGGCTTAATTAATGACTTTTGACTGACTTCTACACAACCTATAATTACTAAGACCCCTAGTTATTGAAAATGTCTAGGCTTTATAACAATGATTATGATTCCTGAATAGCTAAAACATCTGATATTCATAAGCATTACAGATTTAAGTCATTTAACACTCAACTACTAAAGCTTTTCATAGACACATAAAGTTTCTTTATTCTCCGTCAATTAATAAACCAAAACCGTACTACATACAAATTACAAAGTTAATGGTTGGTAAACAACAAACAATGTTTTCAGCATCAACATCTGCCTTCCCTGCATAAGTACATATTAAACATTGCACAGCATGCACTAGTACATTATTTGCTAAATAAAACTCAAATTCAAAAACAGCAAACAAATTCAACATATAAGAATTGAAGAGGAGAAATAAATCTTACCTCCATTATCTTCTCAAACAGGTCATTAAGAGCCTGATTTGAATGCGTAATTATTAAGGTTCTCTGAGAAGGACAATTATGATAAAGAACATTCAGAATTTGAACAGCTGTATCAGTCTTTCCCGTACCAGGTGGCCCCACAACCATAGTTAGGCCAGGCTGAACGCCTGAGATAATTGCTTCAACCTGCTCAATGGGAACATTCCACATTATTATTATTAGTTTAGTAATTACAAATGGAGAATAGGATAATAAGAGGATAAAGTACATGTGGGAGAAGCATAAGCGATTTGGATCACCTGCAGTTAAACTACAGCTTTAGTTAGAGAGAGACAGGAAGAATATGTAGGCCCCGCAATATTTTAAAATGTGGGACCCAGATGCTCTCTGACTGGTAATAGTGATATGAATAAGCTTTAGCTTTGTGTTCTGTTGTATCATCATATCGTGTATGTAGCTATGTTATTCTGCTTCTGCATGTATCAGATCTTTCTTTCTTCTGTTAGTTAGTCTGTTTCTCTATTTTGTAAGTTTGTTATTCTGGTGTCTCAGATCTGAGTCACCATTGTGCTCTATAAACAGAACTTTCATGTACAAATCTTATTAGTGTTAAATATTCAGTTAAATCAATGGCGCTCTCTCTCTCTCCTTCTTCTCTCTCTCTCTCTCACTCGCTCTCTCTCTAGAATTCTGATATGATATCAGAGCCTTCATTCGGAGGGCCTGATCCAGATCTAGATCCACTCATGGCTTCCGCAACGTCATCTACTCAAGAAAACAACAACAGTAACAGTGCCAACTCAAATTGCAGCTCGAATCACGCAATTTTGATGGAGAAAACTCCAAATCTCTTCAACTATCAGATTTCCGTAAAACTTACGAAAGATAACTTTCTGTTTTGGAGTCAAATCGTTGAGCCAATAATCAGAACTCATCAACTTCATCGATTCCTTGTAAATCCAAAAGTTCCGTTGAAGTTTCTCACCGAAGAAGATCGAGACAGTGAATCGATCAATCCAGAGTACATAACTTGGCTCACACAAGATCAGAAGTTGTTGACTTGGCTTCTTTAAACTATAACACCCCCAAATTTCTAACAATTTTTAACAATAATAAAATATTCCTATAATAGAGATATTGTAAAAAAATAACATTTAGATTATTTAATAAGATAACATAAATATTGAGGAAGCTAAACTAAAATCAATTTGAGGAAATGTTACCGCCGCACCTGTAACAGGGACAAGTGCAAGGCTAACTAAAAGATAATCCTATTCCAAAATATATATATTCAATGTAAATATTTAAAAATTTAAAATATAATTTAAGAATCTAAATATATCTAATATATTTGTAAATCCTAAGCCTGGTTTGAAAAGTTTGAGATGTTATCCTTACTGCTCACTGCAAACCCCAAACTTTGCAACCTGTTTCACTAAAACTTTGCTCCTCCGAAGGATCATTGCAGCACAAAGACAAAGACAAACAATCAGCAAAAGCTAGTAATCCCAATCTAGAACAAAACGAAGATAGTCATAAGTAAATCAATAATTATAATCAACTCAAAATCAATCAAGGCATTTTATTTAGAATAATTATATCTCAATAAATCAGCATAATCAACTCAATGATATTTTAATAAGGATAATCATCAACTAACATATTCAGCACAACATTAATCACAATATTACATAGATGATAATAATCACAACTCAAATATTCATCATAATCAAATCAGGTATCAAATTCTATTATTAATTGTGTTTAAGCTCATTTAGTGTATTTAGTGGGAACTGGAAAGAGAACCATAGTAGACCCGGGAGTTCCTGTTGCCAGCCACGTATAATCAAAATTGGCCATCAACAAAATATCAAATCCTAGTGTGCACACCTCTTCCCAAAGTTGCTACTAGTACCCCGGGAAACTCTGTTGCCAGATACCACTTTGGGAAGAATGGAAACATCATTGTCACATCAAATAAATATCAAAGGCATAAAGCCCAAAGGTTGTGTTCATCACTTTCAAGAAGTACCATCCTGAAAGCTATCTTCCCACCATTATTTATTACAATCACACACAATCAATTCAATCTTGTCACGATTATCATAACTGGAAAATTTCCTCAAATAGTTTTCATGATTTCCTCGTCAATTTAATCAAGAGTATCCCAAATTCAATTATCCAAGAATATCATAATTCAAATATCCGACATCTATCAGAGTAAAACTCAAATCCAATCATCATATCAATTAATCATTAATTCTAGGGTATCAAAATCATAATAACCACAATTATTCAATAAGATTCATATCGCACATAATCAATTTTCCATCATTTTATCAAAGGTAAAATTTCTATCATACATAATTCATTATCTATCTTCTCCACTTATCACCATCAAAGCATTAAGATTATTTCCAAAATAATTATATAATTAATCATGTTAATTTCTAGAGGTTAAACCCAATAAAGTTCCCAAAAATATTCATATATAATTACCCTACAATTAACCAAAGGTTAGGATTATATTTATAATAAATTTCATATAAAACTAATATATTATTTTCTAAAGGTCAAGATAACATTAAATAAAATATCATATAAAATTAATCTATTAAACCTAAAGGATTGTGACACACCCAATAGATTTTATATAATAATTTTATATAAAACAAATCTATGGTGCCATAAACATAGGGATTACATCAAATAAGATCCATGTCAAGCTTCCATATGACTCTCTAAGAATTAGGATTACATATAATAAATTTTAAATAAAGTAACCTACAGATTACCTAAAGATTGGGATTATATCAAACATAAACATATATAATTAATCTATTACTTCTAAAGGATTAGGATACATCGAACAAATTTCATATAAAACAAACCTAAGAGCACCTAGAGATTAGGATTACCTGGTCTCCGTGTTTGATGACTTCTAGGAGGAAAAGCAATTAGAGAAGAGAAGCGGTTGTAACCAAATTAAAAAAAAAAAAAAAAAATTGAAGTAAGAAAAGAGTAGCAGAGGAGAATTGCTGAGGATTGGAAGTGATTTGATTTGTTTAGGCTAGGCCTCTATTTATAATTGGAGTTCTGGGCTCAGATATGGGCTTCGTACAATTATTTCCTTATTCTTCATTGATGTACCTGGCTCATATATTGGCTTTATACACTATTTCCTTTTTATTCTAAATTTTTTTTTATGCCTCAAAATATCACTAACTCATTTGCTAACTCAAGGCTGACTCATGATATCTAATCAAATTAAGTTTGTTGACTCATTCTAATCCAATCACATTACTAATCAAACATTAATGCATAAATGATCAATAAATTAATAATTCAAACAATCACAATTTATCATCTTATCCTAATAATATATATTTATATAAGCATATATATACACTATTATTATTACTACTAATTTATAATTTGTTACTATTACTAATTTATTGTATTATAAATTACTATTATTTTTCTGGGGTATTACATAAACGCTTTCTGAATCGATAGTGAATGAAATCATTGGAGTGAAACATTCTCATGAAGCTTGGGACAAGATGCATCAATTGTTTCACGGTATGATGAAATCGAGGGCCAGAACCCTCAAATCTGAACTCTGTTCAATGAGTGCGAAGACAATTTCAGAGTACTTAACCAGAATCAAAACTCTCTGCAACTCCTTGAAGGCGATCAACAATCCTGTTTCTGTTGAGGATCAAATCAATTACATACTTGAAGGTTTTCCTTCAGACTACAATTCCTTCGTTCTAAGTGTTCATGCAAGCGAAAAGGCTTATCGAGTTGTTGATATAGCAATCGAGCTAATGGCCTTTGAATAGCTTCTACTGAAACAGAGTGAGTCATTGTTGAGTGACCTAACCTCTGTCAACATTGTTGTAACTCAGAATCACAGAGAAAAATACTCTGTTTGCCCCTGTTTTACTGAACCAGAAACAGAGCATGAACCAGGAGCAAGAGTTTCATGATTCTGCTCCTTCTAATACTGCAAACCGAGGGAGAGGAAGACTTGGAGGACGTAATAACAAAGGACGTGGACAAGGTCCTCGATCCAACGTTCATTGTCAACTTTGTTACACTTGAATATAAAATAATATGTTGTGTATTGATCTAATTCATAGAGTTACAATATATAGAGACCCTAATGGGCTTAAGCGAAAGGCCCAGACCTAATACAATCGGAGTAATTACAGATAGGAAGTAATCTAATCATATCTAATCATATCTAACAATGTCTATTCATATCTTGAGATATATAGTCCCACGTTGGTTGTATGTGCAACTAATGTGGAGTTTATAAGGTCTTAGGCACTCCCACCCTTTGAGCTAGCTTTTGGGGTGGTGACCTCAAGGTTCTTTACAGTTTGAAATACACTGAATAAATGCTGTTTTAACTGACGAATTCCGTCTTGATCACTTCCAGTGAGAATGATGTCGTCAACATAGACTAACAAATAGATGCACTTGTCAGGAGATGTAATCCTATAAAATACAGAATGGTCAGCTTTACTGCGAATTAAGCCAAACGCCTGAACAGCAGAACTGAAGCGACTGAACCATGCTCGAGGAGACTGCTTGAGACCATATAAGGATTTTCGAAGACGACACACCTTCCCAGACTCCCCATGAGCAACAAAACCAGGTGGTTGCTCCATGTAGACTTCTTGTAAATCACCATGAAGAAATGCATTTTTGATGTCAAGTTGAAGGAGTGGCCAATGACGAACAGCAGCAAGAGCAAGAAATAGGCGAACTGACGCCATCTTAGCGACCGGAGAGAATGTATCGCTATAATCAAGGCCGAAGATTTGAGTAAAACCCTTTGCAACTAGGTGTGCCTTGAGTCGATCGACATGGCCATCAGGTCCAACTTTCACAGTAAACACCCAACGACAACCAACTATAGACTTCTCTGGAGAAGCAGAAACAAGGTCTCAAGTGCCATTGGAATGAAGTGCAGTCATCTCATCAAGCATCGCTTGGCGCCACCCTAGATGGGAAAGTGCTTCACCTGTGGTCTTAGAAATAGAAACAAAAGAAAGACTAGAAACAAAGGTGAAATGAGGTGAAGAAAGACGGTCATAGCTCAAAAAGGTATAAAGAGGATAAGGATTACGTGTAGTACGTGTACCTTTTCTTTGAGCAATGGGAAGAGCCTCTGG